TGTGTGTGTGTGTGTGTGTGTGTGTGTGTGTGTGTGTACAGTGCCTGTAGAGGCCAGAAGATGATGTGGGTCCCCTGGAGCCGGAGTTATAAGTGGTTATTAGCTTCCAGATACTGGATGTTTATTTTGTATAAGAACTCTTAACTACTGACCCATCCTTCTAGACCCAGAAAATATTCTTAATAGAAGTGAGGGTCAAGGCTGAGAGCTAAAACCTCCCTGGTACTGCTGAGCCCATTATTCTGCAAAACTGCCATGTCGCCATATGTTGTAAATATTGTTGTTCAGACTCCTGTCCTGTGTCACTGTTTCTCTGCCTGTTAAGCTCTATTACACCATTCTCAAAAAAAATAAATTCCACAGGGGAAACATCTGGACAGAGTTTGAGATAGTCAGAGTTGGACTGAATTTCTGATAAGAAACATAGTTTTAATGCCAAAATCCATGTGATGTGTGTTCAGTGTCATCCCAGCAAGTCTCACTTAGCACTTCCAAAAAGATAGGAATCACACAAGAGTCCTGAGAAACTGCCCAGAAGGTCCATGCCTAATGACCATCTATTTCCTCACTATGAAGGTGGTGGATTCTGCTGTGTGTAAACATGAAGCTGCATGTTTCCAAAGACACAGTCACGGCTGTCATCTCCCGTGCCCCCAGGCTTTCTTCCACAGAGTTCTGGAGCCCCTGGTCCTGGTTACGCCCTGGTGTTTCCCTCATTATCCCCACTACATTCACTTAATAAAAGAAGCAACGGTCATCACAGCACTAGCCAAAAAACAGCGGAGTGCTGCCACAATAGACTTCATTTTCTGTGACCAAATCATAAAAAATATTCTAGCAACAGAGGAGTCATTCCACTCTCTGTCCTCTTTCCCTTTCCTCTGGCCCAGCTCAGAGCCAGCAGTGTTAAAGGAAAGAACTAGGACCATGCTCTGGTTCCAACTCTGACTGCCACATGTGAGGTGGGGACCCTGGGTGTTACTTGACTATGGATAGCCAATCAAAATCACCAAGTAGCTGGGTGTGGTAGTGTATGCCTATAATGTTACATACACACACACACACACACACACACACACACACACACACACACACACTGGAGTTACAGACATTGAAGTAAGAAGACCTGCTGGGAAGAGATGGAAATGAATATCATACATATGAAAGTGTAAAAGAATAGATTAAAAACAAGACTTTCCGGAAATGCAGCCAGGACTGGGGTTCCCGTACTGAGTTGACCTTGTTTATTTTAAATGTGAGTGTGCATGTAGACAGGAGTGTATTTGTATCTGCTCTTGACCTAATGCTCACATTTCTACATTATTAGTGATTTCTATCAGTGATGGTGAACCACATCACAGCATCCACAGAATTGCTAAAGGAGAAAACCCTTGAAAGACAGAGGCAGGCCACATGCAGTCACAAGAAGTTGAGACCACCCCAAGTCACAGACCTGATCATGGAGTCAGAACACTGACCTGACTTTCTACTCAGGGACTCACACTGGCCTGGCAAACACAGAAATACCAAGCCACACACTTAGACTCTTATAGTTACCTTCCTTTTATTATATATACATGTTTTTCACTATATACAAATGTGTGTATAACAGACTCCAGAGTTTGAGCAGGAACAGTCCTTTGCCCAGGTAAATTATCCCATGACTTCCAGAGTGCCCTTGAATTCCAGAACAGATGGAGCCTATGTTCCTAGGAGACCCCAAGGTCTGGACAGCTGCTCAGTACTGAGAAAGTCACACCTGAGCTGGAAAACCTGTGGTAGAAGTCTGATTTGGAAGTCTAGAGAGACTCATCCTTTCAAAGTGTTCGCCCTCCAAATGTCCTGTGCCTCTTTGATGCTGTCTGCCTCCCCAGGGCGAGAGCTGGTGAATGATGCAGGTGGAGATAATCCTTCTAGAATAAATGTGCCTCCACTTGGCCTGCTTGCTTGCTCCTGAATTCTAAAGGGAAGAAAATTGCAACAACATAGTAAAACTTGACTCAGCCAACACTGATCATACAGGCTAAGGAGCGAGCCTGCTCTCTTAGGAAGTTGCCAAACAATTTGAAAATCTGAGGAGAAGTTAATTATCTCCAACTTGGTCCCCACAAGGGCAGTGGTATCAAGAGCCAAAAGGACTTAAAACCCCCATGTTTAGATGTGAAAGGGAACCGGGAGGTGGTGTCACACGCCTTTAATCCCAGCATTCCGGAGGCAGAGGCAAGTGGATCTCTGTGAGTTCAAAGCCAGCCTGGTCTACAGAGTGAAATCCAGGGCAGCCAGGGCAACACAAAGACACCCTGTCTCAAACCCCACAACCCACCCTACCGAAAAGAAGTAAGAGGGCAGGGAAAGTCCCCACTACTTGGTAGAGGCATTGAACCTTCTCCCTACCTTTTGTGTTCTCAGGTAAGGAAGCTCCTCTTGCCACAGGTAGGAAGGTGTTTCACCTGCCTGTTCACCACACACTCTGGTGAGCCATAAACTCCCCAGGTGCTAGTCTCCCAGGTCGGGGGCACAGCCATGCCAGCTCCATAAAAGTTCCCTGGGGATTCTGGCCTCCATCCAGGGTGAGAATTGCTCAAGATGGGGGTCTCTGAGAGAGGAGATGGATCCTGCAGACTGGGGTTCAGGTTACAGCCCTACTCATGCCCTCCATTAGTGTGGAACAGATACTTTCACCAGTTTCAACACACGATCATGGACTCTGGAGTAAGGTGTGTTGTCCCTAACCCACGGACCTGTGTTCTCACTGGGCAGGTTGGTGATGTCACAGGCCCCGTGTCCATCAGTTTAGACACAAGTGTAGAGATGATGCCATCCACTATGCAAGACCTTGAGGAGCAGTAATGAAACCTGTGCAAATGTCTGAGGTAAGAAGAGCTCAGTGATCCCTCCCTACAAATATGCACTCACATGTACATATGCATACACAAACACACAGAGACAAACACATACACTCACATGCATAAACACAGAGAGACACATATGCAAACACACACATATATACATACACTCTCATGCACAAACATACACAGAGACACACACATATGAATACACACTCACATACACACATATTCACAGAGACAAATATACACATGTACACACATCTATACATACAAACACACACTCACATGCATACTTGCTTCTTTTATTCTACTTACAGTGTTGTGTATAGATACATCTAATCACAAAGCATAAACAAAAAGTTTTATTTACCAAGTGGACAATGTGTTAATTAGGAGAATCTCAAGCTGGGAGTTTCTACACTTTTGGATTGTTCTGGTTTGGACACAGTGACAGCAAGGGTAATAATGTTAGCTCATGAAATGCAAATGTTGTGAGCGGTGTCTGCTGCCTTCATCCCCTAGACAGACTCACAGATGGGTGGTATCACACTGCTGTGATGAACCCTGGCTGTGACCCCAGGGTGTGCCCCAGCATGTGTCAGGATGGGCCCTGGCTGAAGACCCTGCTTGCCAGGATCCTGGAAAGCACGTTCTCTGAACATCACTTTCCGTATGACTGCAGGAGCTGAGCTGGTGATTCCGTCTCTGTGTCCAGTTCCTAGATCCCTCAGCAGAAGTGAGCACATGCTCAACACCCGCATTGGTCCTTGCAAACTGCCACACAGGGCCGTCCCGTGCTTGTAGGGTACGTATGCTCTTTTTGTGAAGAAGTGCCCACTTGGGGACTCCTTTGTGACCCCAGGGAGTGTCATTTAACTGGGAACAGTCCCAACAAAGTGACATATTTATTTAGGGAACTGTCTTCTAATCCAGCCCTAGCATTTGGCCAAAACATTTCTCCTTCTGACTTAATCTAGCCGAAACAGCTATCTTTGGGTTCTGAGGGCAGATGATGGGATTTTCCTCATCATGAAAATCCTTTACTGTGCCCTGCAAGGATACAGCCACTCTGCAGCTCACCTGGGAATACCCCAGCCCAGGTGAGGCCCACAGCTGCTCTAAGCCAGGGGTAAGTAATTCCAGGATCCTGCAGCCTGCTGCCCCAGGCCTGAGCAGGTAGGGAGTACGAAGAGCATCCTCCAATACTTCAGGCGGAGGGACTCATTCTACACTTTTATTCACAGGCAGGAGATCAAAAGCTTGACACCTGGTTCCTGTTACCCACACAATCTATTGATATAAATCTCTGCCACACAACTTTTTAAATCAATGTATTTTCCTTCACTTCAAGCCATGCTTTGAAGGGAGGTAGCAAAGAAGGAAACTATGCTATTTTGTAAATCTAATTCATTTCTTCACCCATTCACCCAAAGTCCATTGATGATTCTCCATGCCAAAAGCTGAGAGCCCTACAATGCTTACGATCTTGCAGCATGCCTGTTCTCAATTTTATTTTTACCTCCCAATTAAGCTGTCATGGCCAAGCAGCCTAACCTTGTGTGCAGTGGTAATTGGCCTTCCACAATCTGGTGGTGTTGATTTCTCAGGAAACAGTAAAGAGAGTCAGTGTAACCCCTTCTGGCTTGTAAAATTCCACGCCTGTGTCTAGTAAATGCCAATTACTCACAGGCTTCAATATGAGACCATTAATCTCACAACAAATGGGGACTCAAAATAAAGAAAAACAAGACACAGTCAAGACCCCTAAACCAAATACAAGCGAACAAACAAAAACTCCGTAAATAACAAAAGAGACAGAGTGAGTATTGGATGTTTGGCGCTATATTCAGGACAGCCATGGACGCACAAGTGTGGAGTCAGATGTCGGCTTCTGAGCTGTGGGCTTGCTATAGTAGGGCCTTGTGTGTTCTGGTTGTGAGGGGCAGGGGTAGAGGCTGGAAGGGAAGGTGCTAGGAGAGCTTGAGTGAGCTCCTGCACTTGGAGCATCCCCCCCTTTAGTCTTCCTGATGAAAAAGACATGGAAGAAGACTGGGGAACAGGATTCCTAGTTTGGGATGGCAAAGCCAGAGCAGGAATATTTTCTGCAGGCCTGTTGCAAATGGAGCTCCGACTTCGCATTAGAACACAGGATTAGTGTTGACGCCTTCAGAGTCCCAGAGCTGGTGATGTCACACGCCTCAGCTAACAAACAAGGTTATACAAGATCTGTTCCCAATGGCTCGGCTAGGGGGTTGCATCCAAGATGAGGCTCAATCTCATTCCGTTGTCAATATTTCATGAGGCCTGAAAGATGTTGCAGGGGGACGAAGACGGCAACGGGAGGTCAGTACTGTGTCCTTCCACCTACAAGTCTGCAGCTCTGTGGGGTGAGAAACAAGTCTCTCGGGTCCCTACTGGGCAGCAAGCAGGGGGTCCATAATTGCCTTTGTCGGTGTTCTATTGCTGCAAAGAGACACCGTGATCATGGCAACTCTTATAAAAGAAAGCATTTAATTGGGGCCGGCTCACAGTTTCAGAGGCTCCGTCCATTATCAGCATGGTGGGAAGCATGGGAGCATGCAGACAGACATGGTACTGGAGAAGAACTTGAGAGTTCTGCATGCCGATCCATAGGCAACAGGGGGAGTGTGACGCTAGGCCTGGCTTTGGGCTTCTGAGACCTCAAACCCATCCCCCCGTGACACACTTCCTCCAACAAGGCCATGCCTACTCCAACAAGTCCACACCTCCTAATCCTTCTCAAGTAGTGCCACTCCCGGATGACTAAGCATTCAAATATTTGAGCCTATGGGGGCCATTCTCAGTCTGCCACCACACAGGATGATAATTGAATTCCCACAGGAGTCTCCACATTACCAGTGACTGCAGACTAGGGTCTGCAGCCTTGACACAAGGCAATGGCTGGAGTTTAGCACCAGCAGAGGGTTTGCATGGGTCAGTGAGGCCAACAGCTGATTCTTCCTGGGTCTGACTCCTGAATCAGGCTGCTCTTAATCCAGACTGTCTCAGGCAGCTCCGACTGACTGCTGTTTGGACTTAAGTGAATTTAAACCAAGAAAATTCTTCCTTAAGTTCCGTGATGGCCGTGGGGATTCATGAGTTGACAAGAATGGTAGATAGGCAGTGTCTGGAGGGTCTGGACATCTGCAGCAAGTCGTTTCCAAGGTCCTGCCCAGCTGGGGAGGATGGGAGCCGTGACTCTGGTCAGAGGGAACGGAGAGGGGCTTTATTTCTAACCCCCCTAGATCCTGGTTCCCTTGGGTGTCTGTTTTCTGAGAGCCTGGGATGTTTCAGAAATTGCTAACTGGAATGAAACTATAGCATAATTTCTTGCATTTTAGAATACATATGTGGTTGAATAAGAATGCCTCCCCTCCAAGGCACATACATCTGAATGCTTAGTCATCAGGGAGTGCTATTACTTAAGAACCATTAAGAGGTGTGGCCTTGTTAGAGGAAGTGTGTCACTGGGGGTGGGCTTTGAGGTTTCAAAATCCCAAGCCAGGCCCAACGTCCCTCTCTTCTTCCTGCTACCTATGGATCTGGTCATGGGACTCTTAACTCCTTCTCCAGCAATGTTTCTGCCTATGTGAACGCATGCTTCTTGCCATACTGATAACGGACTAAACCTCTGAAACCTATGCAAGCCCCTATGAAATACTTTCTTTTGTAAGAGTTGCCATGGTCAGGGTGTCTCTTCACAGCAATAGAATACTGACTAAGACAACATCAAAAAAAAAAAAATCTTAAGAAACAGTTAAGGAAACTGTTACATAGTAAAAACAAACTTTTCTTTTAATCCCAAAGTTCTGTCTTCAAAGTACAGAGGAGACTATAACAGAACCCCGAAGCCACTGAAGCCACTAAGGTGGATGAATGTAGCCTGGATCATGTGGAAGCTAGGCTGCTGGTTCTTCTCAACACACCTTCAGAGACTGTCAAATTGTTTTGTTCATATGCATGGGTGGCCGGGTGTACATGTGTGTACCTATGTGTTGAAGCCAGAGGTCGGCCTCAGGTCACTCTTTTGGTGCAATCTGCCTCATTTGTGGAGACCTCTCCCTCAGACCTGTAGCTCACCAATGAGACTGCACTGGATGGCAGTGAGCTCTGAGATCTGCTCATCGCCATCTCCTCAGCACCGGGTTTCGAAAGTACTCCACCGGGCCTGGATTCTAAGGACAGACTCAGGTCCCCATGCTTGCTTGCCCAGCAAACACTTTATCAACAACATCATCTCTCCAGCCCCCGGGGTTGTCTGGTTATGATGGAGTCCTGTCCCTTCAGCATTACTTTGAAGTGCCTTCCACTTCAGTGACAGGTGGATTGAAATGGAGCTTCAGGGGACCTTGGAATCTAACAGAACAGCAGATTTCCCAGAGAAAATGACACTTCAAAAAACCCAATTAAAATGTATAAACATTGACATTTTTTCTACTGGAGGAGACAGGAGAAGGGGAAGGATTTTCTTAGTTCTGTGAATTAAATCCAATCTGTCAGCTCTACTTTCTAGGAGTTCACTTACCATCCGAGTGCCAGGGCCTGCATTTCACGTGTGGACATGGAACTTCCAGAGAAACGCCCAGTCCTGGCTCTGGTGTGGCAGCTGGCCATGGCCCTGGAGCAGGCATCCAAGTGCTGGAGCCAGCACTGTGCAAGGGCACCTGAAAAATGCCAGCCCTGGTTGGCTGGGGAAACGGGTCACTGCCCTGGAGTGGATTCCAGCAGGAAACTGTCCTGCAAAGGTAACCTTCATGCCATGGTGAGGACTGAACTAAGATTGTCCTGAAAAAATCTGAATGGGTATTCTAATTTTTAATATTCCTCTATACATACCTACTTTGCAGATTACCAGTACTGGGATGTCCTCTGAAAATATGGCCTTTTAACTGCATGGAGATATCCATACATCTTCAATATTGTGTTTGAGGGGAAACACACACCCCAGGGATCTATTTTTCTTCCTCTGTGAGCCAGGAAGAGAGTCTAATGCTGAGAATCTGTAATGGAAACCATGAAAAAAAGGGGGGGTTGGCCTCTGTACTAGGAAGACAAGGATAGAGGCTCAGTCAGACATCCTAAGAGGTCAGCACATTTCATGTCAGTGCCGAGTGCCGGGAGCTGCAGGCTTCCTTTCTAAGGGGCACTTGCAGACCCTGCCCCAGAGCCTCGGAGCCAGGTGGCCTCTGCCCCGGCAGGTGGCTGATTTCTTCAGGACAGTACCTCTGAATCTGAGCCTTGGAAACAGAGTGTAGAGGCTTTGAATAGAGGCTTTGGAGTCTGATTTCATTTTTTTTCTCTTGAAGAAAAGTATTCATATATAATAATCATGTAAAACAATGTGTTCGAGTGTAATGAAATTTAACTGTCTTCACCTCATTTTTGTCCTCGAGGTCCCCTTCCTCCAGTGGTCTAGTAGCCTTCCCTCTGTCATTCTCAAAGCACACTTGGCCCTCAGCTGCTCTTTCTTAGCCACTGATGTCACCCCAGCTCAGAAGCCAGTGTCCAGGGAGGCAGGACTGACTTTCTCTGACTTTACCCCACGATCAGGGTACCTCCACGGCCTCCACAGCAGTCAGCTTGTAGATGGAGTTTCCTGTCCCAACCGCCCAAACAATTGACTCAGAGGCTGAATATGAGTTATAAAGGCTCTGTCATAGCTCAAGCTTGTTACTAGCTAACTCTTACACTTAAATCAACCCATATTTCTATTTCTGCTTGCCACATGGCTCATGGTTTATTACCTCATTTTTTTACATGTCCTGCTTGCTCAGCAGCAGGCTGGCATCTCTCCTGATTCCATCCTCCTTCTTCTCATTATTCTCAGTTTCATATTCGCACCTAACTTCCCTTCAGCTTTTTATTAACCAATGAGAGTAATACATATTCATAGTGTAGAAAAGGATTGCTCCACAGCACGTCTCCCATTGGTCTAGTCTTTGTTGAGAACAAGGGGACCAGTCCACAGCTCAGTCCCTGGGGTGTCCCTGTTATAATGCACTTAGGTGTTGAGATTATTTCAAATCTTTCACTGAAATAAGACAGAAATAGTGGGGTGTGGGTATTTGAGGGCACTTAGCTAGAATCTCCATGGACTAACAGTTTCACAGGGAAAGTCTTTGAGAAGAACAAACTTCTTCATGCCAGCCTTGATGGATCTCACCTCATCCTAGCAGTGGGACGCTGAGACAGGAGGACCACCATGAATTTGCAGCCAGCCTGGGGATACGACGTAATAAGATGACCCTGAACTAAAGAGCGACTTCCAGGTTCTGGGTGAGCCCTTCCTCAGCAACACAGACAGAAACATGAGGTCCTGAAGGAAGCCTTGCTATGGGGTCCTTAAGCCAGGGAGGTGTGCACATGGTAAAGCCTCCTCCCAGGTGTCAGTGGAATTAACCTGGCTGAGGACTGGAGGCAGGCTCCTTCTGCAGTTGCTCTCCTGTGGCTCCCAGGTGGTCTTGGGCAGCTGTATTTGAAAAGATAAGAACAATGGGTGTCCCTCATGCCAGACACTGAACACTCTGGGGATGCAAGGTCTTCATTTATTCTGTGAGGGCTTCACACAAGTTCACTGAGTGACACTTGAGTTCAACTTGGTGTGTCTTTGTATGTGTTGCTCAAGAATATATTAAATTATGGCCAAAGGACTGGGTCTCTGTGTCCTCGGGTAGAGCTGCCTCTGCTGCCTCTGCTGCCTCTGCTGGCCTGGCTCTCTCTATAGAAACACTTTTCCTCCTGAACAGGCCCTGGACTGTGGAATGTGAGAATCCTTGGAAAGACTCTTTCATAATCATGGCAGTGATGCAGGGGAATGTCAGTTCTGGTGGACATGTGGTAGGTAGTTTTGGAGAGGGGGACGTCTGAGGATTGGAGTTCCAGCCAGTGCTGAAACACCGTGTCTCCTGTGTGCTGAAGCTTCTTATCCAAGGGGTGGTGCTATCCAGGACAGGCAGAGAATGGACTCTGTTATCCTGTACAATGCACCTTTAACATGCTTTGTCCCCGTGATCTGGAGGCTCATATGTCTGAACTTCCCTGCAGAGCCCTTTCCCCATCTCCCAGTTAGTACTACATAGGGTCTATCTGTGTCTCCCTTCCCAAGGTGATCTTCTCAGGTGACCCAGCATGAAAGTGATCCAGGGTAGAGAAGCTGACAGGAAAATACTCTTAGCTTGGCAAGAGAAGGTGCATGAGTCCCTTAGACGACATTTAAACTAGTCCACTAATGAAGACCCTGTTTTAAAGAAAGTCACATACTTTCAGTATCACAACAGCATGCAGGATACACTCTGTATTAACAATTCACTCTAGGAATAAATATTTGAGTCTTCATATAGAAAACATGGACAACAAATTCACGTGTGCACTCTGAGAACTGGCTTCGGGTTTCTATGTCTCACACAGGGCATGCAAGGGATAGGTCTTTGGACACAGTTATTCTTCAGAGAAAATCCTTCAATTCCATGGACAGTGCAGAAACTAACTAATGCTCTTGCAGGCATATTCTACAACGACCTCAGATTATAACATGCATTCTCAGTAATGGAAGATAGGTCTCCATTAATTTTTGTATTTATACAATTAGATTCTAAAAATTTCACTGTTCAGCAAGGCAAATAGGAAGGTTTAATGAAAGCCTCGCAAATTGTTTATGCCTTTTAAGATCATTTGGAAACCATTGAAATGAAGACGTCTCTGCTGGAAGCGATGATGAAAATTATCTCACCAAACTCGTGTCTGTCTTTTACAAAACGTTAGAAGTCTCCCATGAAGAATATCAATGTGCAATTATAGAAACCTAAGCATGTAATGCACAGACTAGACAAAGCTGTATGAAGGAGGGCTGGGTTAGTCATAGTTCCCCAGAGAACAGGATCCATGAGGAGATAGGAAGGTTGGGTTCTGCAGGCAGAGAAGAGCATTGACCTGCCCAAATGCAGACAGTCTTCCAGGAAGGTGAGTGCTGTGGTTCCAGTGCAAAGAAAAGGTTTACAAACCAGGAGCAGCAATATCCAAGGGCAGAAGAAAGGATGTTGCAGATCAAAGACAGAGGAAGAGCCTGCCTGTTCTAGATTCTTTCCTGTGGCTTTGACAAAGACCTAGACATAAAGCAACATAGAGAAGAAAGGGTTTATCTGACTGACAGCTCCAGGTCACAGTCCATTGTAGCAAGAGAGGTCAAGACACAAACTCAAAGCAACTGATTACATCCATGGTCAAGAGCAAAGAGAACAGATGTGGAGTCTGGTTTGCTTGCTTGTTCTCGGTTGAATTTTCTCTCTCTTACACTGTCCAGGACCCTGTGCCCAGTAAAAGGAGTTGCTCATAACAGGTGGCTCTTCCTACATGAGTAGCAATCAGGACAACCTCCCACCCCACCCCATAAATACCTACAGGCACTCTGATCTATATAATTCTCCACCAAGACTCTCTTCCAAGTGATACTAGGTTGTGTCAGGTTGACAGTGAAAATCAAGTAGCACTCTGTTCTCCTTGCACATTTTCATCCCTTACCAGGCCTCAGAGTCTTGGGTGATATGACTTACCACAGTAAGGGGTCTCTACTGGACCAGAGAGCATCTTACCCTGGGGAGTACCCTCACAGATACCCCAAGAGGAATAATTTGTCAGCTCTGTGTGTGACACTTGTTCAGGGAAGATTATGTCTGAACTTATTCAAAGATGTTTAAACTTTGGGCTTCTCTGGGCTACAGAGGATAAACGGGGAATTTCTTAGGTCACACATTAAATCCAGGGGTGTCCAGCCTGCTACTGACAGGTTGCAGGAGAGCTGTTGAGTCATACTTTGACAAGATGTTGTCTTCCACCAGGTTTACACCTCAGAAAAGCTCAATTGAGTTATAACATGAAGAAAGAAGAAAAAAAAGTCTTGTAATGTTTAAAGTCAGTGTACAATTTTATGTTGGACTGAATGCACAGTTGTCCAAGGGAGTTGGGGGTTGGATGTTCCTGAACTTAACCACAGCTGGGTGCTCACAGGCCTTGGTCCTTTCAGCCTTTTAACGCCTAGGTGATCCTCCTTCCATCCAACTCCTTTTCAAATAAATGATCCTTCTTCACTCCTTCATTGTGACTTCCCCATTTGCTGGACAAGAGCAGGGTGTCTTATGCTTTATCAGCAAAGACCTTTGCTTTGGAAAGTAGAGCCCTTGCCTCAGTATGTGTGAAACACAGACCCATCTGGGTGCATGGGAGCCAGGAGTAGCTGGCTTGTTGCCTACACTAATCCTGTGGAGTAGAGTGGATTGGTGGCGTCATTTTCATCTCTGCCCTGAATGCTTCTGGTCTTACACTCAACACAAATAGCTGCAGTTCCAAACGGTCTTCTACTTCACTGACATTGGAACAGCTGGGTTCTAGAGGCCACAGGCAGATGGTGATGGAGGTTATGTTTGGGGCTCTAGCCATACTATCAGGGAAACATTATCATGGCTGCCTTCAGAGTACACCCAGAGCCCTTCAGAGTGCACTCAGAGCCTGAGGCTTGGGGACATTGTGTCATCTTGGTTTACTTATTCCTCATGGTCTCCTTGGACACACTAGAAGTCAAGTCCTTTTTGAGAGGTTTCATTACGTGGAACATCCACACGTATTAGTGGGCATTATATAAAACAAAACCAGGACACGAAGATTCCACCAAGACCCAGAATAGCTCCATCTACTTGCAATAGCTGTTCAACCCTACACAGTTGAGTTATATATAATCAGAAATGTTTACCTTGCATATGTCATGCAATAGAAGTAATCTCTGTCAGCTGTCAGATACGTAGGACAACAGGGCAATGTTCTAAGAAGCACATTGTTTGGCCCGGCCGTTTTGTCATTTTGAAACACAGTAGGATGATTCCTATCACTAGGGGGCATGATCTTATGGGGTCTTCACAGTGATGCACAGTTGCCCTGCATGGCAATGATCTGTAACTTGTGGCAGGAAGACACCATGTTTGTCTTTCAAGATGGAAATGTGTCCAACATTTGCCAGCAGAGCTCAGTTGCATGGTTTGTTATCTGTCCATATCAATTAGCATCCTTGCAACAATAATTTTAAAAATATTTGAATAATCAATATTGAATAAATAAATGACCAAGTTTTTAGTCTATAAATATCTTACATATTTTGACAGCAGTAAGCACAAATCCCTAGATAAGAAATACATTATCAACTTTAGCAAGGCATAGATGTGCTCAGAGTGGCTTGCCAGGAAAAGTGCTGGATACAGCTTCACAGAACAACTGAGGCAGAGATCTCATGCTTCTCAGATAAGAGATAAAGTTAGCTATGGTTCCAGGTCAGGACAGGCCCTCTATTTGGTTCAAGCCTTGCAGATTACAACGGGAGAGACCCAGGAGAGAAGAGAGAATGGGACAAGGCACTCAGATGCTACCTCAAGGGTTTTGTTCTTCAGATGCTTGCCAGACAGACCTTCTTGTTGATGGTCTGGAAGCTGGTAGAGTGTTCTCCACTAAGAAAAGTATCAACATGTCTTCTGAGCAAACCACTAAAACTGTGCTTAGCCGGCTCTCTGGGCCTGACCTCCAGTGGAGTGTGAGCTATAGTGTCTGCAGGTTTTTGAGACACACCCAGAGATCCACTCTGTCATTCTGACAGAATCCTTTAGCAAACATAGGAAGTTCTGAGTCAAAGCTGGATGGAGATGAATGAAGCTCCAATTCTCACTGAAGTTTAGGAACTGAGAATTTTAATTCTCATGACATGAATCTACTAATAGTCAGGGAAGTTTTTATCAAAATCTTTAACAATTTTACTAAATCAGTTCTGATGATGAGTTTCTGTTTTGATGTAATTGCTAACTGCATCCTTCGCAAATCAGAGTTGAGGATGAGCTATGCTTCCCAGTGTGTTAGGCCCAGAGTGAGCTGGCAATCTAAAGTTGTCCTTGCCTCTTGGCCCTAGGAGACAGCCATGCAAATGAATGTCTGTATCTAAAGATATTGGTATTTCACATAGTTACTCAAAGGACAGAATGAAGGGCAAGGAGTACTGGCAATTTCTGTATTCTTCCTTTACTATCGAAGTTCCCTAAACTGCTTTCTCTAAGAGAAAAATTCTTACAGCAGAGGATGGAAGTGGGGGCTGGGAGTGAGATGATTGACAGATCTAACAGCAGAAGGGCAGAAACAAACATAGCTGGCCAGTGTTTCAGATAACTGTGACTCCTGAATCCTCCCCTCAGAATCCCTAGAGCCTTTATCCTCCCAGATCTTAGCACAAGCGAAGCACCTCCAGGAAACATGTTCCCCGGGGCAGTCAAACATGTAGCTCACATGCCAGACAGCTGCTGGCATTTCCATTTCTGGACATGCTGTATTTAAATACCATCTGAAGATGTGAACAGCCACAAAATTTTGCTTTCTGTCTATGTTTAAGACCCAATCAAGGCAGACTTTTTAAAGCTTGCAATGCTCGCACTTTTAATTTAGCATTAGTGGGACATCTGTGAGCCAACCGAGGCTCTCTCCGCACAGTAGCGCGGGAAGGCCCGATTTTGACTTGCTCTGAGTCTGATTATCAGTCGGAAACACAAATGCAGAAAAAAAACATTAGAGCGGCTATTGGAGCCATGACAAAAGAATAGAAGACGGAGCTGCAGAGTCGTGAGGGCGCCCAGCATCTTTCCTGTGATATGCAGGTCCCTGGAAATACATACCACCAGGAGGTGTGCTCTGCCTCAGTCAGGAGGCCAGGGAACTGCACACAGTTGGGCACATCACAGTCTGCTTGGCCCCATTAGGCTGTGCTGAGCTGCCTTTCCCACAATGCCCTGTGATGCTTTGAACTTTAAATTTTGGACATTGGGGACCCTCTTCATCCAGCTTTACTTGGAGAAGTTTCCCCTCCGGTGGGGTACCTGAAGTGAGATCTTGCCTCCCCTCCTGTGACGGGGCTTCATTTGTCATAACCACTCCTCTAGGAATTCAACGTAACAGCTCCTTCTATGTTCCTCTGAATTCATTTATAACTTTTGGGGATGACTCCACTGTTAGCAAGTCCTAGGCTTTTCGACTGGACTTGCGGAAGTTCAGAGGTGTCTGCAATGGGGCTGAGGGACAGCCAGACACAGGGGCCTGAGGACTCTGGTGCCCTCTGGGGTAGATAGGATTTGATAAAGAAGGTAGAGCTGGGACATCCTTGGCAGCTGGAGTCTGTGTGAGGACCCTGGCGGGGGATAAAGGTGATAGAGCAAATTCTCAGAAGGAGAAAGGTCCTGTGGGCTCTGGTTGCTCTTTATACAAAGGATTCCTCCACTTAGGGTTTGAGATAAAATAGATTGCTTCTCTAAAATGCTATCACATTTTTTTTTTCCCTTTGAGGGAATGGAAAGATCTAGTCATAATACATAGGATTTCACTGGCCCAGCAAATTCATATGGCCAGCTTACGTGGTAGACCTACCCTTTCTGTCTCCCTGTATATTGGGTTTGTGAAATAGCCCACAGGGCTTCCTGATTCTCTTTTCCTGTGCATGCAAGGACAGGCACAGGCTCCCTGGATGCAATCAGAGGAGGCTAAGCTCCTGGCTGTCACTATGGAGTCAGCTAACAAGATAAAAGTCTCTTTGTATTTGAAGAGCATTTGGGTAATTTAGCCCCTAATAGCTTTAGTGTATTTGCTGCTTCAAACATGAAATATATCACATTTTAAAAATAGAAGGAAAGGAAAATAATGACTATTGGTAGTTATTAAACACTGACCATTTCCATCATAAATTGAGAAGCTAAATTAAAGAAAAACCTTTGATAAAGCAGAACAATGTGTCTAAAATGATTAAGTTATTTGAGAAAAAAATGGAGTAAGGAAATCAGTACAGCATTTCCTAGTGTAAAATGAAGCAAGCAGAAGCCTCTCAGGAGAGGGGACCTGTAGTTGGTCCCTAGTCAAAGAAAGGTGTAGTCTAAGTGTTGAGTGTCCTACTAGATTCAGGGTGCTTAATTTAAGTGCTAACTTGTGTTCTAGTATATAGACGTCTTCACAGTTAAGGAAATTTCACATTAAATAGAAAGAATATATGTGTGTAAGAATATGTGTTTTTATTTCCTCTAGAAATGTCGTATCATTATGGGTTCAAAGGGATACCAACATTTTGATATTGCAACATCATATTATATCACCATCTACACAGCTCACATTTGGAAACTGCATAATCAAATTACAGATTTTAGAAAATACAAAAAGAAAAGCTAATGTTTTGAGTGAGTTTATGAGTTTGTGTTAGGCTAAATTCCTAGTCATCCTTGTGCAGGCCTGTGGGCTGCAGTTTAGACCTGCCTGAAGTGGATACAAGTGCTAATTAACTTAACAGACACTCACAGAATACACAGTACCTGGTGGAGACCATGACCTAAGAGAGCTTCGTCACAGGTGATGCCAGAACTGGCTCATTAGAATGGATGAGCATTTACCCAGACATGAAACAAGGAAAAATTAAGAGCAGGTAGAGGCAGCCTCGTCCACACAGGTGCGTGTCATATTGGTGAAGAAGCGGGTAACAATGGAGGCTACGGTGACCACACAGGCAAGTCTGAAGGCAAATGCAGTCCTGGGGCCTGGAGAGGGGGCTGTGGAGTTGATGGTGCACACACACACACACACACACACACACACACACACACACGCACGCACGCACGCACGCACGCACGCACACGCGTACAAGTCTACTGGGGTCAGAGGGGGGGCAATAAGAGAGACAGATGCTGAGGCACGGCCACAGATCTGCTGCTGCTAATGACATTGACGGCTGGCTGTGTTTGAGACTTGCCGGGTCGGGCATTCAGTGTCTTGCATAATCAATGCCCCTGTTCCCCAACTCTGCCTCTGAGACTGACACAATTACTACCCCGATTACGTTATGTTTCTTTTTTTTTATTTAAAAATTTTCATACAATTTATTTTGATCATGTCTTCCCCTCCCCCAACTCCTCCCAGAACCTCCCCACTTCCCCTTCCACCCAACTTCTTGTTCTCTCTATCTATCTAAAAGAAATTAAAACAAAAATCAAAAGACCAATAAGACCACACACAAAAACAAACAAACAAATAAACAAAAACCACAAAAAATAAAACATGGAGTTTGTTTCGTGTTGACTAGCTACTCCTGGGCATAGGACCTGCTCTGGAATATGTTTGATGCCCCTTCTGAAAAGATCTAAATGTAAGTGAGGAGACAGGAATTTGGGCGAATCCTCAGAACTTGGGTGTTTTAGAACCACCCCTGCCAGCCACATAACACAAGTTCCTGTTTCATTATAGCCTGGAATTCCAGGGTGCACCCTAGAATTGAGTGTTCTGCCTGTGGTCTGGTAGAGCAACCTACCAAGTCCTGAGTTTGATCTCCAGTCTCATCTGCTCTGGGTATCTGCCTCTTCATCGACCTTTCCCACAAGGCTGCAACCACCCACAGCAGGAAGTCTGTCCTGTGCCCATGCAACTCCAAACTCAGTGTCCAACACAGCTTGGGGGGAGGGGGGAAGCAAGCCAAGGGCCACAGCAGGCTGTGCCTCCATGGAGAGGCACTCACAAAAGGCTGCAAACGCAAAGGAGAAGGATCGAGTCAGGAAGCCCTTCCATTCTGAGTCCTTACGGCAGCATCCTGAATTCTGCCATGGGAAAAGCTTCATGGTGCTCGGTGGGACATGGCAGGCTGAGTCTCAGAAAGCTTATTCGGACTGTGTGCAAATGGAATAAAGGAGATGCCAGAGACACTAATGAAGACCAGACTGCCATCACAAGAAGGAAAACGCTGGCTCTGAACTAAGTCTCTTCGATGGCTAATTGTATATGTCAACTGCTCCATGCCGCAGGGTACCCAGATAGCATTCTGAGTGTTTATAGGCAGGTGTTCATGGATGAGATGAACATATAAATCAGTAAACTGTAGTAAGCAGCTGGCCCTTGATGATAGGAATGGTCCCCTGGGAACCCTCTGTAAGGTGCATCATACATTGCCTGTCCCAAATATGTCACCAGAATCTTCTATCCTGATTTATATCCCTGCCTTGGTTGGAAAACCTCATTATGGAATATGAAACTGGACCCTGAATAGTTATGGTTGACTCTATCATCTCACATTCTCCCTGTGTCCTATTAACAACGTGCTAAGGACTGTCTCTACAGTAGATGTCTACTGTCTCACCACTTCCACATCTAGCATCCTACTTTGTATTAATGACTTCAGAGGAGTCCATTGCTATGCCGCCATTTACTATTAATATCTCTCTGGACTTCTGAGGCCATTATTAATCTCTCTATGCTGCAGATGAGAAGGGTCTCAGAGATCTGGACGATGAGGAAATATTAGCTGCCAAGACATTAAGTAACTTGATTGGGGGCTGTGATTCATTGAGTCTAAAACTCAAAGTCCAATCGAGCTGCTAGTCTCTTTCTTCATGCGCTTTGTAGACAAACAGTTGGTGTTTGATTTGAAAAATGTACTTTTTCCTCAATTGAGATGACCAAGATTTATTGCTTGTTGTGATATTCCAGAAGTTGTGCTTGGTGCTGGGCATGGGAAAGTGGAACAGGTAGTTTCTGGGCACAGCCAAACAGCCACTGACGGACAGGTAAGGAGCCAGTTGGTGGCAGAAAGAGTGTGCCATGAACAAGACAGGAAGTTGAGTTGTTCTGGAAAGCTGATGTGAGAATGTCTCTCTGATCTTCCAGCGTTCACCCCAATACCTGGCTCAAGTTTGATTTTATTAGTAAGACCATTTAAGATTCCTGCTACAAGAATGGTTTGCATTAGGCAGTCCTTCCAAATTGTGTCGGTTGTTATGAATGCAAACGACCCAGATGGTTCCAAACCGAGACCCTCCTTGATCAAACAGAACTAGGTAACCACCACACTGACCAAGTACAGGCAGTTAAGTACTGCGCTGGTGAAGCACAGGTAGATAAGCACCACACTAACCAACCACAGGTAGTTAAGCACCATGCTGCCCAAACACAGCTAGGTAAAGAACCATGCTGACCAAGTGCAGCTAGGTAAAAGCACTACTAGAATTTTCAAGTCATTCACCAGCGCAGTTCAGTTTTATTGGTTTAGACTCAATACATTCATTTGTCTCATTTGCAAGTGAGCATGCTTTTTAAAAACTGCTGTGAGCGTCTGGGCTGAAGTCAAGCAACGGAGAACGAGGAGAGAGACACCTACCATCATCTTGTGGTCCTCACAACAGGGCCCAGGTCGTCATGCCTGGGGTGGGGATTCACCTGTTAAACTCATTGCCTGCCCTCCACCTTCCCAGATGTAACAGCAGGACTTAGTTTCAAGTGGTAACTGGCGATAATGTACGGTTTGAGCTGATTCTAAATGCCAGTGGTGGGGATTCAGTGACAAATTATCTGAGTGCCTTGCAGTGCTTAAAATAATCCAGAGATGAAACGAGCTAGGCTCTGTCAGACACATTCATGCAGCCCAGACCCTCACTGTCACACTGACTGCTGACAACTGAGGTGGCTCACCAGAGTGGCTGGCCCCTCCTAATTTACTTTCTCAGAGGCACATCCATATTCATGACACGCTGCTGTCTGTCTGTCACCCAGAGGGGCCCTCCCTATCTCAGTATTACAATTACGAGAAAATATGCACATTTGGCTAACAAATAGATTCAGAGAATCCGAGGTCTGGCTTTTGTTGTTGTTTTGAGCCTTTCCTTCCAGAAGGAAGTACTAGTTACCTGAAAAGGTGGTTATCCTAAACTGTTGGTCTGTGGGCAGTCATGTGTCAGGCTCCTGGGATAAAGCATTTGGGAGAAAATATATATTAATTCACTTTTGGGGTTCCATGGCTCCATACACTTCTGAATGTTCTATTCTTCTCAACACCGGACAAACACAGACATTACAAAATATCGAAGTGGTGAGACTGAGCAGGAAGCGTGTGTTATCTTTTAGGTTTGCTAACTGCTGACAAGATCAAGGCTTCCCTCACCCTTTATAGGGTAGCTGGGCCCATGTGATACACCATATTTTTTGCACAGGTTTTCAGTCCAGAATTTTTCTCCCTAGGAGTTCACAGTCTTTCCTAAGCCAGTAGACAAGCCAACATGGCTGTGTTGGCCTTGCTCAGGTGGGCTGTAGTCACCAGCACTATAGGTGACCAAGGGATTGCTGTTTGTTGCTGCGAAAGACTCCATTTGTGAAGTCACACAAAGTGGGATGTTGCCTGAATGTGGGCACCCACTGCTTCATGTGAAGGTTGTAACTCTCGTTGCCATTAGGCAATGTCAATCACTGTCGAGTCCTGCCGCATGTAAGGGATGAGCGTGCAGGTGCGCCACCATCCTCTGAAAAAGACACGGCGTGTTAGTGAAAACACATTACACGTTTTTTGCAAAGCCTCCATGCATCCCTTTTGATCTAACGAGGCTAAGATCAGCTCTGCTGGCAGTGTTCATGTCAGGGACACGCTGATTAATTTAATATTCTGATTGGCTGAGCGGCAGAGCTTTAACGCCTGTTAACTTTTTGGCAAGTAGCTCTGAGAGGGCGATAATGAGATTAACATCAGGAGACTAGATTTGCTTTTCTGCTGTATTTAATTACTACTTTGACACCAAATAGTACTGCAGTGGGTTTTCTAGACAGCACCTTATTAATCCACGTTATGTCACATGGAGAAG